ATCAGGATTCAAAACAGATACCATCTGCCTAGTCATTCTGCCCGGGGTTTGTTTTTTTTTCCTTTCCTTTCAGGTGATCAGTCTGTACCACGGTGACATGCTTTTCTGCCCTCTAGTAATTGCCCCTGGAAAGGGGACCTTCTGGCACAGCAACATGCAAAGACTTTTGCTCATTTATTTCTGAGTTTGGAGGTGTAATCATGTAGCCTCTGATTCTTGACCTTGATGGTCAGGGTAATGTCTTTGTACCTTCTTCTTTAGGTTTCACCTGTCCCTTTTACAACAATATGTTCTAAAATAAATAAAGAGGAAGGATTAGAAAAGGCTTCAAAAAATGGCATTACCTCTTTACCATAACCAAGGGATTAATCCAGAAAAAGCAAAAATCAATAAATTTCAATAGAAAATCTACATTCTCCTTTGTATCCTATTACACATAATTAGCTTATACTGGAATTGAAAGAGGGTTAACAACAGTTGTCAGATAGAGCTCAAGGTTTTTTAAAATATTGTAGAACAAAGTTTGCTAATCTTTCGTTAAGTGCTGCATGGAAATCAAGCAGCTATAAAGCTATAAGAACTATGCTATGAGCCCTGGGGTCTGTATTAGCAGACAATTGCTACAATTGCATTGTGGCAATTTTTTCATGTTAGCTCTTTAAATAATATTGAGAAACTTTGACCAGGCTAATTGTTTTAGAATAATTTTCTCCCATCCAAGTTCTATAAATCCTCATAGTTCTAAAGCTGAAAGAAAGCTGGATCCTCTTAGACCATTTAGAGGGACTCTTCCATAATCATAAACATCCCGTTGAAAATACAAAAAGTTACAGAAAGGGACCTGACAGAGACAAAAGTCAAAGAATGATTTTAGCTTGCTCAACCTGTGGATAAGAAAGTACAAACGAATCTGATTTTTTAATCAGTAGAAAATTAGAATGAGTGAAGTCTTGAGGTCCCTTGGGAGATAGGGCAGATGGCCTTGTGGTCAGAAGTGATGCTTTTTCTAGAGTAGATTGATAGTCTGCCTTCTAGCCTTCTCCACTTAGAATAAAAGAAGAGTGATGAATGCATAAGGGGCAACTTAATGAATGCAGTGTGACTTTCACTGAGGTGGTGTTTTGGTTCTATATAGTACAGCTAGAGTACATCTGATAGAAGTGTGTGGATTTTTTTTCCAGAAAGGTAAAGGTTCAGTGACAGAACCAGAGATGGAAAAATTTCCTTTATTTTAAAAGCTGGCTATGACAATGAAAAGGACCATAATGATTTTACTTAGAATCTGTTAAAGAAACAACTTGTATGGGCCATTTGTATGCTATTCACAAGGTTCTACTTAGGCTTTCCACTCCCACCATGGTAAGCAGATAGGTCAATCGTAAATGAAGTTTTTTTTTTCTTACATGTGTTGATTTCAGCCAGTTGCTTTTCTTGTCATTCTATTTTTCCCTTGCATTTTGCATATTTGAAAAAAACAAAGAACCAATGCATAACAATATTTAATGACTGTCAGATTCTTATGTCCATTATGATTTAGCCATTTCAATTACCTGATTTTCATCAGATGCAATTAATTGTTGGCTGGATTAGTCTATATTTGTGCAACTGTTTTCAGCGTGAACATTAAGATGAGCAACTGGCAACTTATACATAGAATTTTGTCTTCCCTGTAGACTTTTTGCTTAAAATGAGATGGCACAATATGCAATGAAATTTGTCATAGTTTACTTTGGTCACAAAGTGTGGTCAGAAAAATATACCTTTTATTGTTTCAAATACAATAAAATGTTATAGACTAGTCTTCCTGTCTTACCTACTTATCTATCTATTTCCAACATGTTGATCAGATGGCATCTGGGTGGATCTATTTTGATTTGAACAAAATTTGACATGAGTCTCTAAAGTATTCAGAAGAAAAAAAAAAAAAAAAATATTTTCAACAGATTTTGACCAGCTTATTTCCTGGTGTTATTGGAAATCAACTTGACAAAGAGGCTGCAAACAGAAAACCTTGGAACATCCTCATTAGTATTAAAGACAAAAAAAAAGATCTATAAGACTCCCGGATTCCTGTGTCTCCTGGGACAAGACAGTGAAGGATGGCCAAAGGCAATCCATAGAAATAGTTTATCATGATGCTGTCAAAAGCTAAATGCAGAAATCCCTTGAAGGAAAGGAGAGCCTCTACTAGGTCAGAGCTATGAAGTGCAGCAACTCAAGGCATTATGCATACTATTACAAGGTGATACCTAACAACATATATAAGTAAAAAAAAGAAGGTAACAGTGGGCTGAAGGGAAAGGGGGAGGGAAGAAAGAGCTGATGAGAAACACAACAAACAAGGACAGTCTAATGGCATACTTAAGTTTTATTATTAATTTTATTTGGAAGTGCCTCCGTGTCCTTCCTACTGCGTGACCATGGGGCTCTGGAAGGAGCTTCCAGCAGTCCATCCCACGTCCAGGCTCTCAGTGTCGTTCAGCTGCAGTTAGAGATCCCCCCCCCCTTTGGGGGGGGGGGACGGGACAGAGAAGGGTGACAGAAGCATCATAATTTACTGAAAATATATATAAATGAATATCATAATGAATAAAAAGAAATTTACCGTTTGAGTCATATCACAAACTCTTCCAAAGTCTGTTTCAGAACCGATATGGTATTTTCATTTTAAGTTCACCATAGAAATGAGAGCTCAGAGAAAATACACGGGTGTGGGTTTTTCCCAGTCTAATGTAGTTCTAGTTAAACTGCTTCCTTTGTTTCATTAAAGTGGAAAGGAACACATTCATGTTTTCATCTTGTCTAGAATTTGATATAATATAACAATATCTTAATAACTTATTGGTCTGCTATTCTAAACATTCTTTTCCTTCCCTTCCTCAAAATACTTTTTTTTTTTAAAAAAAGAAACTGATTTTGCCAAAATTTGATGAAGAGTTCACTTTGTGATTTTTATCTTCTGACGGCTGCATGAATTTAAGGCCTGTTCCAAAATTTGACATTATTGACAAAAATTGCGATTATTCAGTATGTTTAGACCAGCCTCCCAGTTACAGAACTACCTCCAGCTCCTTTTACCCTCTCCCTTGCAAGCTGTAGAAATCATTCTAACAATATAGCTGAAAAAAAAGACATTTATGAAAAAGACCCTTTCATTTTTACAATCTTTCTTAATGTTACCCCATTTCACATTCTCTTTAAGATAAGTGAGGTTGTATTATGGATCAGTGGACCATCACTCCGGGCTAGCCATCTTGTATGATCACAAGATCATACAAGATCAACACATTTCTGTATTCTCCTTTCAGTTCACAGCCTTTCAACCATGCAAAGCAGTTTGATAATAAATAAACACGCGCTTCACACATTTATTGGGGGAGGAATTGTTTAGAGTCCAAGTAATCAGACTATAACCAGGA